GTAAAGATCACTAGGGTAGGAGTTCACTGTCCCTGACATCAGGATGCTGCACACAGCATTCCAAGGATACTGAAGTTCCCAAGAACCATGGTGGGATTTGAGTAGAGAAAATACGTATCATTCAGATGTCAGTTTCCTAAATGGGTATAGACAATGACCGGAGGTTCAAGGGGATCACTGTGAAGAAAGCAGCAGAGCTGAGATGCAGGATTCTAAAAGGAAGAGTGACCTAACACAATGAACTGGAAAAGGAGTACAAAAAAATTAAAGAAATTAAAATTAGTTTAAAGAAATGCTTTAAATATCTTAACTGGAAAGCCAGAGGGGGGATGATGGGTGGTTGATTCAAAGGCTCACCCCCTGACACTAAGACCTTTGTTCTTTCTGGTTTTTTTTTTTTTTAATGTTTCTATTTAGTTATCTTGAGAAAGAGAGAGGGCACAAGTGGGAGGAAGGGCAGAGAGAGGGAGAGAGATTGAGAATCCCAAGGAGGCTCTGTGCTGTTGGTGCTAAGACCAATTTAACTTAATTTAATGAAACATGAGATCATGACCTGAGCTGAAACCAAGAATCAGACAATTGACTGACTGAGCCACCCAGGCACCTAGTTCTTTGTTTTTATTCTTAGCCCAGAGCTTGAACCTAACTTAACTTTGAAGACTGAAGATGGCTTCCAGTACCAGTCAGAGCTAAGTGCTTTCTGCTCACATTCAGGAGATAGGTTATTGAGGAATCTACCATAGTTTCCATTACTCATATACATCTGTGACCACAACGTTTCCTCAACGTCTCCCCTTCATGTGGTAGGTCTACAATGGGTAACAAATAACTTCAATTCTCTGCATAAATAAAACTTTGACTTTCTACTAAAGAATCAGGTTTAGGTATCAGTTGACACACTATTCAATTCATTTGCATGGGAACAGATTCCCCACAATTGCTGATGAAGATGAACCCCACAAGCAGTACAACAAGTTACTTTGCACTGCAGCAATCTTGTGGTCTCCGGCTAAGGCTCCAGGACCGTTCTTACATTCTTTCCACTAAGATTACAGAGATTCGCCTCCAGCTATGTATCCTAAATGTCACGTTGATCCAGACTTAGGGCTCTATGTCCCACATGCTGAACTGGAAACCATGAATGGCAGTTGGGCCTGAAAGTCTGGAAGTCCTTACAGACTCCTGCAGCAAGCACAGAGGCGATGTGGGTGTAAAACAGCTGGGCAGGCTATGCAATGCCAGTACAAATACAAGATTTATACCATCCTGTTTAAAAGCATTCAGTGGGTGGGGTGTCTTGGTGGCACAGTCAGTTAAGTGTCGGACTCTTGATTTTGGCTCAGGTCATGATCTCACGATTTTTGAGATCAAGCTCCGCATCAGGCACTATGCTGACAGTGGGGAGCCTGCTTGAGATTCTCTCTCTCCTACTTGTGCACACGTGCATGTTCTCTTTCTCTCTCTCTTAATAAAATAAACAAACATTTAAAAATAAATAAAAGCATTCAGTGGCTCCCACACACAGAACAATGTCCCACCTTTTTGCAACTGCGTAAAGACTATTTGCCTGCACAGTCAATCGAACCAGTTTCCCTGCCCCCTTGCACTCGGAATACATTCTTGACATCCCTGAACACTCCTTTTCATCTCTATGCTTTTGAAGACTCTTTGTCTTCTACCAGAATTCTTCTACTTTGATAGTTAATTGTCCATCATTTATTATTGATAGTGCAGTGCTTACTACATTAGCATACTTAGCTAAACTCTGCAACAGCCAAATAGCTGATGCTTCAAAAGAAAAATCCAGCCAGTATTCTCTGACTTTCTTATCTTGGTATTTTAAAAATTGTAAGCTGTTGGGGCGCCTGAGTGGCTCAGTTGGTTAAGTATCAGGCTCTTGATCTTGGCTCAGGTCATCATCTCATGGTTTGTGAGTTCAAGCCACGTGTTGGGCTCTGCCCTGGCAATACAGAACCTGCTAGAGATTCTCTGTCTCTCTGTCTCTCTCTCCTTCTCTCTGATCGTCTCCCATGTGCACTCTGTCTCTCAAAATAAATGAATAAAATTTTTTAAAAAACAATTAAAAATTGTACGTTGTTAAGCACACCTCTGTGGAAAAAATTGTTGGATTGTTCATTTTCAGCAAGGTGTCTCGTGTCATGCAGCCACAGCTTTAGATCTGTGTGAATGATTGACAGATGTGGCGCTAAATGAGGTGAATGAAGTGAAGCAAACCAGTAGGGCAGAATGGAAGTGTCAAAACTGATGGCCAGTGTACATTTTAAAACTGTGTAGGCAATTTTCCTGGAGGCCAAACCCTTTGGGTGGCTTGTTTTGAAAATAACAGCATAACATTCTTAAGCAATTATCTTGTTGTATGTAATGCATATGTAAAGCCACTGCATTAGGAAAAGTAGTCACTGTGTTTACTCTGGTCTTCTGTTAGTTAAAGAGAAATGATTTTTTTTTCCTTTGTAAGATAAAGAAATCTTTAATGCTGCTCCCAGGCTGAGAGAACATTGGGCTAGTTACTCCCACAACATACTTCTGAGAGCACACAGCTCCCATCTGATCTCAGGCTGTTCTTATCTGGCCTTGTTATTTCCAAATTATGTCATTCCTTTTACTACCAAGAGATGACATGAGCTTTAACTTTAGCTCTCAAAGTAAAGCTCATCTCTTTGTGTAAATATCATCGGAGAAATAAACATAAAATTTAAAGCCATCTCCCCTATCCCATTCCAAATCCCAGCATTGAATAACTGCAAGGCCAGGGAGAGAAGGGAAGAAGGAAAATGAACAGTTACTGAGTTCATATTAAGTACCAGGCAAGGGAGCACCTTGATGGCTCAGTTGGTTGAACGTCCAACTTCAGCTCAGGTCATGATCTCAGGGTTCGTGGGTTCGAGCCCCATGTTGGGCACTCCACTGACAGCTCAGAGCCTGGAGCCTTCTTCAGATTCTGTGTCTCCCTCTCTCTCTCTGCCCCTCCCCCACTTGTGTGAGCCCTCTCGCTCTCTCTCTTTCCCAAAAATAAATAAATAAACTTTAAAAAAAAAGTACCAGGCAAAGCTTCAAGATTGTAACTGCCCCCCTGAGTAGATGGTGTCTGGCTTTCCCCAGTACAGTTCCTCTACAGTCCCTGGCACCTGGGCAGATGCTCTATGACCATGTATGTATGGAACCAGTGTAAATCCATTCCAGATGTTGTCTCATTTAACCTCACTACCACTATCTGAATATGGAAGTATTTTCTTCATTTAACTAAGAGATTAAGTAACCCAAGATCACACCAAAAAGGCCTGAATCACAAACTAAGTAGTAAGACAAACTTAGGATGTAAGGATGCAAGGCACGTTAGGGGTCACCTAGAAAAATGCAATTTTTAATAAATGAAATGAAACATCCAGCGAATTTAAGTGACTGTCTTACACAACACATCACTATAGAAGTGGAAAGCAAGTGGGGCGCCTGGGTGGCTTAGTCGGTTGAGCGTCTGACTTTCGCTTAGGTCATGATCTCGCGGTTCGTGGGTTCGAGCTCTGCGTCGGGCTCTGTGCTGACTGCCAGCTCAGAGCCTGGAGCCTATTTCAGAGTCTGTATCTCCCTCTCTCTCTGACCCTCCCCTGCTCACACTGTTTCTCTCTCTCTCTCCTAGAAATAAATAAAAATATAAAAAAAAAAAAAAAAGAAGTGGAAAGCAAGACAAACATATGCATGCAAGCTTAAAACATTCCAGATAATGAGTTTGATCAGATGCACACTAATGTATGGAAAGCAATTGGGCATTTTAAGACTGTTTGGAGTATCCCTGCAATGCGGCAGGAATATAGATGACTAAGCAATAGTCTCTGCCCTTAAGAATTTCAGCAGGAGCGCTGGGGTGGCTCCAGACCCTTGATTTTAGTTCAGGTCATTATCTCGACATTTGTGAGATCAAGACCCATGTCCAGCTCCACACTGATGCACAGAGCCTGCTTGGGATTCTCTCTCTGTTTCTCTCTCTGTCCCCTCTTCTCTCTCTCTCTCTCAAAATAAATAAATATTTTAAAAAAGAATCTCAGAAAATAGCAAAGGTGAAGACAGAAACAGAAGTATAAAGCAGACCCTATGCTTACAGAGCTATGAACCAAGGGCTGTAGGGGCACAAATGACAGAGTAAATAACTCTGCACTAAGGAGGAAGAAGAAAGGTCCCGCTGTGGAAAGGAAATCAAGAAGAGGTGAGGAGGTAGCTTAGAGTCTGTTGGAGGAAACAGGAAGATATAATATTGAAAATGCAGGTTGTTATCAGATGTGAGGTGTTCTACTCATATCCATTTGCGAAAGGGATAAGGATGATTCTCTTCAATATTTTATGCCAAGTACCCAGGGGAAGATTTGTGTGTGCTGGTCGGCCCCTGGAATCAGTATACATCTCCTATCAGGTAATGTACTTTAACTTCCAAGGACTCTTTTCTAAACTCTGGCTTCCTTCTCTGTCTTTGACTATTATGGAAGGAGAAACAAGTCCAATAATTGAATCTTGATCCAAACTCACAAGCAATAATTTCAATAGCATAAAAGTATGATATCCCCTTAGTATTGCAACAAGACTTTCCTCTTCTAGTTAATGAAACTTACCTTCTTTTCATGATAGAAAGAGTAAGTGCACAAGAATTTTATTTAGAAAACACACCCAGGACAGCTGACCTAGAGCACATAGGTCAACAAATTGGGTGGATAGGTTAGAACACTAAAGCATAATTAAAACAACTTAGGCAATTATTTTTAAACGGACTTTTGGGAAATGATACAAGATTTCACATTAAGGATATTCACGTGTCTTTAAAAATACTGCTATAATCAGTAATTATTTTTTAATAAGTAGTAGTTGCCTAATATTTGAGAGGCTCTTGTGCCAAACACTCCCACCCCTTAGCTTTCCTAAGAGCATGGAAGTCCCCGAGCTTGTGTGTACCTAACACTGGCATGCGTACATGACATCATGATTTCACTTACCAGGGATAAAATGAATCACATTTGAAATTGCTTCATCCCATGAAAGCTAAACAACCTGTCCATTAAAAAAAAATAATGAATTCAGTTTATTTTACAGAGTTCATAGGCTAAAAATACATACACTGTTCTAATATACTGAGGCAAGAAAAGTCTTCTGCAAGGTACACCTTTCAATCTGTTTTTTTTGGGTTTTTGTTTTTGTTTTATCTTGAGGAACCTGTATTTCTTCAAAACAGCAGAATAATTCTTTCTGCTACAACTTTTTACTTCAGTCACTGATATACTTCTAGGACTCTATTTCCTGTACTCTTTTCCTCTTTCAGGCACACCCACATTAGTCAGAGTTGATTTCTAGTGATTCCTAATGATGGCTAGCTCCCTTTAGTATGTATCATCCCACCTTTTCTAGGCATAATCTCTAATGACATGTACTTCACAAACTCTCCTACTTACCACAAGGGGTCATTTTAAAACTCACCTAATAGGACCTGATGCATTCTGTTCTAAGTTTCCACGTTTTCTGCTCTCTCAGATCTGCCCAAGTTATCTGTCCCTTTTTGTATACAGCTGTTTTAGAGTTTGGGGGCTGATTCTCCAATGGTTATCATGTACTATCCAGAGCTTTCAGAAGGCACATCTCAGTACTTTCTCAGATCTTTGTTTCATCTGGTGAAGTCAGTGTAATACATTCTCTATAATCTTGCCTTTCCTCTGATAATGGAAATCTTCTGTCATACCCCTTTTTATTTGCCATAGTTGGGGTGATTTAAACAGAGAAATTCATTGAAAGAATATCTAGTTGCTTATACTTTCAAGAAGACTAGGGGCGCCTGGGTGGCTTAGTCGGTTAAGCGTCCTACTTTCGCTTAGGTCATTATCTCGCGGTTCCTGGGTTCGAGCCTGGCGTCGGGCTCTGTGCTGACTGCCAGTTCAGAGCCTGGAGACTGTTTCAGAGTCTGTAACTCCCTCTCTCTCTGACCCTCCCCTGCTCACGCTGTCTCTCTCTCTCTCTCTCTCTCCTAGAAATAAAAAAAAAAATTTTAAAAATTAAAAAAAAAAAAGACTAGAGAACTATGTTCAGGATGAACAGATAAAAAGGAAGCCTACACCACCAAAACCACAGCCGGAATCATGCCACAGAGCCAGTCCAGCAAGGACATAGCCACATATCAGGGCCAATGACAAGGACGTCCACACTGCAGCACTAACACTGGCCCCACCACTGCCTTGGTTGCCAGTGTGCACACTAACACCACACGGCCAGAAAGATTTCGCTAACATTCCCGACCCTTTGTTACTCCTGTCTCAAAATTCAAAATACGCAGGTCTGATTGCAGAGCCTAAAAATCAAGGCTCTCTCTCAGGGTGGTTGAAAATGGCTTTAGGTCTATTCAGATTCTGCAGTGGAAGATGAGCTCTCCCACCTAAGAACCAGATAGTATAGATTTTTTTTTAATGTAGGAAGGGGATTCAGATACTAAGCAGACCAAAAAAACAAAAACAAAAACAAAAACAAACCCGTATTTTCACTGCAGTACTCTGTCTTATGGAATAAATGGACCACATATCTATACGCTCTACTACAGTTAGGTGGTTCCTGACATGGACTGTATCTTTTTCATTTTCCTTCACCTAGCACTGCAGTTCCTAAACAGTACCCTAAGGTACCACAGGTGCCACAGAGAACTCAATGAATTTTAGATAAATTTTCAAGAACGGCACAGAAGCACCTATTGGACACCACTACTACCTTGGGGTGATTCAGTGTCGTGAGATCACGCTACATTCCCTTTGGTGATATTTCTTTTTTGGCAAAGCTGGGTTTTCAGTGGTTGCTGTAATAAAAAACAAATACACATGAAAATCAATGTGGAACAGGAAATGAGAATGGCAGTGTTCAGACTGATTCCAAGATTGGTGAGGTTTGGCAGAGCCCAACAGGCCCACACACAGATAATTTTTTAGTTCAAAAGTGAAACTAAATACTACTTTTTCTTCATGGATGTATACTTGCTTTGCCAATAGCTACATATTTAATAAGGTGTTCAAATCTAATAACTTAATAAATGGAGCAATTAAGTATTTCGGCCCAGGGCTGTTGTAGAAAAGTTATTAGGATTCTAATGGTGATATCATGAACCAAAACAGTTTAGGAAACTCTAAACTAGCACAATGTCTATTGATTTAAAAAAAATAAATGCTTTAGGGGTGTCTGGGTGGCTCAGTTGGTTGAGTACCTGACTCTTGGTTTTGGCTCAGGTCATAATCTGACACTTTGTGAATTCAGGCCCCGCGTTGAGCTCTGTGCTGACAGTGCAGAGCCTGCCTGGGATTCCCTCTCTCTCCCTATCCTGCCCCTCCTCCACTTTCTCTCTCTGTCTTTCTCTCAAAATAAATAAACTATAAAAAAAAATAAATGCTTTATTCTTCAAAGTCCTGCATTGTTCATGAGAAGCCAGCACTGTCCTCTCTTAAAGGCCACAGCCTCTCACTCATATGATAGGGATCAAGTAGTTGCCTAGAATTTCCATAAGCAAATGACACAGCTTTGAGAGACCAGGAGATGAAGGCACTGAGGAAATACTAGCAAACACTGAAAGCCCTAAAAGGGCAAAGACAGATTTAAGGAGTCTCCCAGTCTTTTAGAAAAGACACTTCTAGTAATAGGTGCCTATTACTTTGCATGATTATACATTATTGCTGCTAGTGAACATTGAAATACCTCTCTCTCTCTCTCTCGTATATATATATATATGTATATATATATACACACACATATATACACAACATATACAACATAATATATAATACATTATATTAATATAAAATAATATAATATATTATGACAGAGATTGAAAAATTATTATGATTGTGATTTTGATTCAGGAAACTTCCAAGTTTGGAGAGAATATTACTTGGTCTATTTTAATTATCCTGCTTATTGACATTTCCAAAGATAGTATCATCTTTATGGATGAATTTCAAAGCAGAGTGCAGATAATGACAGAACTTTACACAGTCATTAAGCCAGCCTTTCTCTTCCACAAAATGAATATATTCACCTAGCAACTAGCCTTCCAGAACTCTGTGTTGATTTCAGGCTTTCAGTATCCTCAAGAGTGACTTTTGTACATAGAAAAAATGATCTAAATGGTTATTTTCTGAAATTAGTTCAATCTATTAAAGTCTCAAATTAAAAAAAAAAACCTTCTTTATTGAGCTCTTAAGTTCAACTTGCAAATAATTTTCTCATTTATAAGTGTAATAAGTTTTAACAGGAATTTTTAAGAGTTCTTTGAATTATATCTAATCATACACACACTTTTGAATAAATAAATAGCTTCAAACTATTACTTGGTTAATAAACTGCATTAATTTTAATATATTTTTGGGGCACCTGGCTGGCTCAGTCAGAGGAGTATGAGACTCTTGATCTCAGGGTCATGAGTTCGAGCTCCATGTTAGGTGTAGAGATTACTTAAATAAATAAAACAAAAAAAATTAGAATATATAGAATAGAATATAGAACATCTATTTATATTAGACATATATTCTAATTTATATATATTTATTCTATAGCCTGTTTAAATATTTAAGATATATATTCTAATTTATATATATGTACATATATATTCACTATGCTTTTTAAATATTTCAATAGTCTGACTTAAAACACAAAATCTTCCTATTAATATTCTTGCTCACCTAATAAGTTTGTTAGTAGTGTGATTCAAGTTCTCTTAAATGTTACAAATACACAACTAAAAACATAACAAGTGTTAGACTCCTTTTTAATACCAAATATTAATATTTGGCTTCAAATCCCTTAACTATTTCCATAATTCATTTCAAGGTTTCCCAAGGCTAAAGTTTCCCATTTAACTGAAGTTTCCTGCCCACAAGGGAAGAATTTACTAACCCAATTAACCAAGGTAACTTGTGATTATAAGATTACAGCAATCTCAGTTAATCAGTAGACTTAAATCTGCAGGCAAATCGAGCAATTCTTACCACATCAATGACATACCAAGCCCCTTTTTATATCACCATGTCATGGCCCTCAGAACTTGAAAGATTAGTCTTGGTAACAGGTGCAAATAAATGTCTGTTATAGCTTCCACACAGTCATTATGAAGGTATAACAATTAATAATTATACCACAAAGCCCTTGGGTTTAAGATTGCAGCATAACTATTTTTTTTCTAATCTAGTAAAATCTAATCCTTTATCTTGTGGTGCAAAAGTCTCCATTATCCTTTAGATTTTGTGAAAATCCCAAGCATCTTGTATAGTCCAGAACATTCAGAAAATATTTTTCTTATCTTTAGATTTCTGTAGTCACAGCTGGTGTGGCTATTGTCTAAGTGCACAGCCTGAGAGCCTTACATCAGGTCCAGCCTCCTAAAGCACCAGCCCACCACTACCACCAGCAGTCTTACCACCACCTAGGAGCACCAAATGAGAGCTCGCAGAATCACAGAATTAAAATCAGCCAAATTTCCAAATACCTCCCTAGATCAGCTCCAGCTCATCTCCATCTCTCCTAACCCTAGAAATAACTCCACCACTAGCACAATAGAGCCCAAAACTCAACTTTCAACACACAAATCTTGAAGGGAATTGTCTTCTGGAGAGCAGAAAACTTTGACCCAGCAATGGAAACACTAGTTGTGTTACCATCTTAGTTGCCGGATAAAATACCTACAGCAACAAGAACGGATTGTAAATTAATATCTCAATAAATTGTCTTGCCACAGAAGCTATATGTTTGACCTAATAATAATGAGCTTCTTTAAAAGGTTTTTTAAATTTTTTTAATGTTTTTTATTTATTTTTGAGAGACAGAGCATGAGAGGGGGAGGGACAGAGAGAGGAGACACAGAATCCAAAGCAGGTTCCAGGCTCTGAGCTGTCAGCACAGAGTCCAATGTGGGACTCAAACTCATGAGTTGTGATATCATGAGCTGAGCTGAAGCCAGACGCTTAACCAACTGAGCCACCCAGGTGTCCCTAAAACATTTTCTAAGATTGCTTTTATATATGATTTAGTAGCTA